TATTTTGGGGTCCTTGTAATAGGGATCCTACTATTTAGGGTACTCTACTAGGGTCCCCTATTTTCGGAAACCCCTGTACAGGGTTTAATGAGGGCTTGCAGGGTTTAGGGCTTAGGTCTTTTAGGTGTCAAGTGTGTTTTATGACGCAGTTCAGGCTTTTAGGCTTCGGATCTCGGGGTTATGTCGCGGTTTGGGGATTTCGGGTTCAAGGTTGAGGGGTTTAGGCCCCTAAACCCTAAGCCCTAGGGTTTTAGGGTTTAGGGCTTAGGGGTTTAGGCCCCTAAACCCTAAGCCCTAGAAATTTAGGCTCTGCCGTTGTGTTTTTTTGGTGTGTGTGCAGGGCTTTAGGTCTCGGGAATAGGGTCGGTCAGACGGCAGAAACTCGAGGATCCCTAGTTACTGTAGGGGCCTTAAACAGTAACCAATACTTTTTTGGGGTTCCTTCTTATAGTTAATAACTAGAACTTGTAATATAATATACCCACAAAACCCTATTCTAATTATTAAGGCCCCTACATTAAACTCTAATTGCATCATTCCTGGCAACTGAATGGGGATCCTGGTAGGGCATACACGTCATAGTGGCTTAGGGTCTTCCGCTGAGCCCTAAACCCTAAACCCTAAACCCGAAATGGGCACGGCACCTGAGGTCGTCTCGTCGTCGCTGATGTTGCGCCGCTATCGCCCTCCCGCTTTCACACAGCCCCTTGGTGGGACTCAGGGGTTACATACTATTGGGGTTCAGGGTTCAGGGGTTGCATGCTGTTGAGGTTTGAACTCTCAGGAGCCATGCCCCCTCATATTATAATGCCTCTACAAGTCAGATTACCCCAAAGCCCGACAGAAAAGCTCATACTCAGGCCCCTGCACACGAGGTCTGGGGTTGGACAGCACCCGCCGTCGCCAGTCCATTATAAGGGGACCGAATATTTAGTGTCAGTGTTTTCTTGGGTTGCCGAATATACGTGTCGTATAGAAGACTATGACTACCCCACCCCACAGTTTCATGCTTTCGCGCTCCACAGCAGCAAGGCCTCTTTACTGTGAACGTCGGAGCCCCTTAGTGTTACCACTCTGTTCTGTGAGTCACGAAAGGCAACCACCACGCTCATGAACGCTCGCTACATTCCCGATGCACCCATTTAAAAAAAAAAGCTGGAAACCCTCAACAAAACGTTCAACACCATGCATCTCCGGCTTCAGAAGAACCGCCGTTGAGTGCGACTTCTCATGAAACCACGAAAAGAGCTGTTCCAAAACCGTTAAACTTAAAAACCTGAGCCCTAAACTCGAAACCCAAAAACTGAAGCAACAATAAAGGCCCATAAGACCCTGTGCAAAGCCACTGAAATCCGGTATAAATCCTTGCCGAAGCATAAAGCCTAAAGCCTTCCTTCGAATACAGGCGGCCCGGATCTGCTAGCTTCTGCCAGCGCCTGGCCGAAAAGATCGGGGTGCGACCTCGCACAGAGATCATGGACGCCGGGAGCTCAGGTGTAAGAAAGAGGCTATGGCTTATACTGGATCTCTCGGGTGTATGTAAGGGCTTTATAGTATAGAGGCCTGCATAATTGCTACTATCATTCCTTTAGGCTCCTTGGTATACTCAGAGTACACTACGCCCCAAAAGCCTGTTTTGATTATCGAGGCCTCTATATACTACCACAAGAAGAGAAAATCATATGCGCCTTGGCCTGCGCTCCTGAAGCGAAAAACGCGTTGGTGAGCCGCAACGGACATTCTGCCCCTCGTGTTTTTCCCTGAGCTTCTCGATGAACATGTGTGGGAGGCTGCTTCGCTGGGCTACGCTCTGTCGATCGAGGGCGAAGTGGCGAGACAAGGTGAGATGAGAGCGGCTGCTCGCATCGCTCTTCTGAGAGGAGAATGAAGGTCTCAAGAAGGCCGAGAAGACGGCTCCCGGAGGAGAACGGCATGAATATGTTCCTGAGATTTCGTGTACTTCTACTCGCCCTCCACTCCCCCAGGGGCAACCACGCTACAAGAAGGACTCTGGAGCATAGAGGGCCCAGCAGGGCTTAGGTTTAGAGTTTCGGGAGTTTAGGGTTTAGGGTCGGTATGTTTCGTGTAATTCAATCGCAGCAAACTTACATAGGGACTATAAGGAGACATTGCTAGTACTTGTTCTGCAGACCTCTGTATCGGTGAAGTAGACTTGAGTGTTGTTTTCTGTAGTAGTAGTCGTCGTCGTGGTAGTGGTAGTGGTAGTGCTAGTAGAGGAGTAGTAGTGGGTAGAGGAGTAGTAGTGGTGGTAGCAGTAGTAGCAGCAGCCGCAGTAGCAGTGGCAGCACTAATGCCAGTAGTAGCATCCCGGCTGCATCCCCATACTGCCTCTTTGTAATTAGACTCCACGAGTCTGATATTCAGACATCTATGGCCGAGTAGGGTTGGTGCTGGCCGTTAGCTTTTCTTGGTATAGCTAGGATAGAACTGATGTGCATTTGACAAGAGAGCCTACCGTGCATCTTGATAAAGAGATCTGCCTCGAACTACAAACGGCTTGTTATGTCGATTCACGAGCCGAGTTTCCAGGCTGTTGCGGCTGTAGCGTGACTTTACTAGCCTCCATGCCACAGGGGAACCCACGTGATTAGTTGAGTCCCACTAAGGTGGCGTATTCTTTTGATGATCCAAAAAGGAATCCTGACTTAAAGAGCTTAAGTATCCACTTCTATGAATAAGAACTACCCCCTAGTTCACACGGCTTGGAGTACGTACGGTGATGCACGATTTTGCCCATCAGCAGTAGGACAAAAATGCCACCGAGACGTGTGCAAGTGCAGAAATTGTACCACACAGGATTCTTGGCTGACATTAGCTGAAACTACCTAACTCGAGGGGGTGAAACGTTTAGAGGTTAAATCGCTACAGCCCTAGCATTTAAAATGAACAAATTAAGGAGCGCGAAGCCCAGCGCAGTGGCATGCGGGCGCTGATGTTGCAGGGACACTTTGGCTGCATTTAGCTCAGGTTTTGCAAGCAATACTTAGTTCCTCGATACCGCCTTTAAACTCTTTGGGTTCTTATAATTTAGTAGTACTCTGAAAGTTTTGCCTTTTATTTCCCTGGCTTATTGGGGAAGTAAGACTAGCAAGTATCAACAAACGTGACAGTCTTCGTCAGTGTACCACATAGTCCATATTTTTATAATGTAAAATGCCATGCGAACATTCCTCCTTAGTGTTCCTGATTATAGCTTTCTGGATATATCCCTGAACCTTGTTCAAATTATTGAGACCCAAATATGTGGTACTTAGAACCCTACGCCTAGACATCAAATCTCAACCCTACTGTTGATGATATAAATCCTGCATTACGTTCAGGACCCTACAGTATGGAAATTATGGTATATGGATTATTAAGGGTATCGCAAGAGTTTTTACCCCAAACCCTAAACCCTATATCCCTAAACCCTAAACCCTACACCCCAAACCCTAAACCCTTAAAGGAATCCTAGGGACCCAGAGGGTTCCGGGTCAACGGCCACGGGGTCCTGGGTAAACAGGAGACGGCGGACTTTCGGATTCGGGGTTCGAGCTTAGGGCCTGGAGCTTTAGGCTTTCGGCGGCTTTGGGTTTAGGGTTTAGGTAGGTTTTTGTAGGTTTAGAGTTTCGGGTTTCGGGTTTAGGTGTACAATTTAGGGTTTAGGTTTAGAGTTTCGGGGTTAGGGTTTAGGTTTCCGGTTTAGAGTTTAAGGTTTCAGCGTTTAGTGTTTAGGAAAGGCGTTTGGGGTTTGGGGTTTGGGTTTCGGTTTGGAGTTTCGGGTTTTCCGGTTCAGACCTTGGCGGGCATTCAAGTCTCGGGGAAAAACCGGGGCTCGTAATTGGTAATGTAAGGGCCTAAAAAATTACCTATACTATTTTGAAAAGGGGTCCCTTATTATAATTATAGTAGAATGGGCCACAAACCCTATTCTAATTATTAAGGCCCCTACATTAGGCGCTTTGTCTTGGAAGTCGGTGTTCTTAGCCTTTTCAGGTTTGAGGTGTGGGGGTTCTAGGGTGTGACTCTAGGGCTCTTGGGTACGTGTTTGGCTGTGGTTACTCTTTTGGGTTATGGTTTCATTGTAGGCATCTCCAAGAAATATACGTTTTGTTACCTCTTCAAGGGGAGTAGTCTATCGGGGAAGTCAGTAGCCTCTAACCTGAGCAAGTTAGAGCAGCCACTATGCAATCCCAAACTCCTAAACCCCCATAGCGTCGCCGCAATGTCAACCTGGACAAGCGGGCTCTAAACCTCCAGATGGCCAAAGCGTAAGCTTTAAACTCTAAAAGCCTAAACCCCTGAATGGAAACGCCCTGCCCTTAGCTGCTCTGCCCTCCTAGGAGGTTGGAGAAATAAGTTGCCTTCCGGCGGCATGAGATAAAGCCACAGGTTCTAAACCCTTTAACAGAATCTAACAAGTTCTAAGCAGCTCCAGTCTAAAATCCCGAAGCAACCTTTTCACAAATACCCAAAAGGATTACCCCCTAAACCCTGAACCCTGGACCCTAATCCACAAACCATATACCTTAATTAATTTTCTTCAGGTATGATGGAGAGCTGCGGAGCACTCACAGGAGCAAACTGCTCATGCAATCCTTGCGACTGCCGACGTTGCCCGCCGAATTCTCTGTCACAGGCCCATGCCTGCCTCTCCGTTTAAGCTACTTACTACGTCCTCCGGTCATTCAAAAGTCTCTCAAAGGCAGCACGACCCTTACTAAGTCCCTTAGCTTAACGAAGGATTGAGGATTAGGGAGGTTGTGGAGGTTTCCTTGTAAAGCTGAGCTAGAAGAAACAGTAGCCGTTTTGCTGGGAGCTACTCTGCCATCCCACGGACTCCTAACATACGGAAGCATAACACCAAGCCCAGAAGTAATAGTCAGGACTCCATGCTGGCCGCCTCGGTCAACTGTAGACAGCCTCCTTTGGGTCGCCAAGAGCCCTAAGCCCCTGCGTCCAAACCCCACCCGCAGCCATGAAATAAATCCTGCGATCCTTTATCAACCCGTAAACCCTTGCATCCCTACACCCTAAACCCCTCATCCCCCATGTGACGGCCTACATGCCTTAAAGAGTATCCCAAGCTTTCCTGTGCTTCCATACTGAGCCCGACTCAAGAAGACATAATATTAGTAGTAATGCCTTACGACGACTTGCTCCTAGTGCTTGGATCCTTTATGGGGCCCAGTTGCTCCGGCATTCCTTTATCAGGGATCTCGATCACTGTTTATTGGGTTGCTTTAGTGCTCTTTAGTGTGTTATTCGGGCCTTATGTGGGTGTCTTTTGCAGTTCCAGTTTTGTTGGTATGTTATCAGGGTTGTCTATGATTTCTGTCGGGGTTTTGCCCGGGGTTTGATACGGGATCTATGAACCGGCAACTTGTCAGGTCCGAAAACCCCTACTAAACGTTGCGGGATATGCAGTTTTCAGAAAGGGTACCTTGCTCAGGGGCGCTTTTGCTCAGTATTCTAACATTCAGGGTCTGTATTGGGTGTTCTTGAAGTTCTGACAACCTCTAAACCCTAAACCCTACACCCTAAACCCTAAACCCTAAACCCTAAACCGTATTACGGACGGCGGAAAGGATGTAAAGGTCTGATCCCCAAATTCGGAGGCCTATGCTACTAACCCCTCAAGCGATCTATCCTACACCCGTACGCCCTACATGCCTAAACCGGGTTTAGGGTTTAGGGTTTAGGGTTTAGGGTTTAGGGTTTAGGGTTTAGGGTTTAGGGTTGGTTTAGGGTTTCCCAACCCCTAAACCTAACCTGAAACGCCCTGTTTGGATCCTCCCAGGGAATCTTGGGGTATGTAAACCCATAAGGATGCTTTAAACACCTATGAGCTATGTACTTTTGAAGAAGTTCATGAAGCCTCATAGTCCGTAATTCAGGTATGCAGCACTTGGAGGGTCTGAGGCCTTAGCAAGTAGAGAGCAAGTAAAGTTATAAGTGCCTTAACTGGGAGTTTCCGAAAATAAGGGGTACCTTATTTTGGGGGTCCTTCCTGTGGAAATCCTACTGTTTAGGGTGCTATATTAGGGTCCCCTATTTTCCGAAACCCCCAAGTGGAATCCTAATAGCCTTGCAGCTCTGCTAGGTCCTTAGGTATTTGCGTTTTTGGTGCACTCTATAATTCAATAGCCCTTCACTTCTATAAACCCTGAAGCCTAAACCCTATAAACCCGATCGTTGGCGGACCCAAATAGGAGCGATGTATAGAAGAAAAGCCTCCCAGAGAACCCAATACCCTTTAATTAAGGAATATACCTTAAATTATAGGGGCCCTAATATTATGGTTTGAGGTATATTCCTTAGTTAAGGGGTATTGGGTTCTCTGGGCTAAACCCTACTAAGTCCCCCGATCCTCCAATAGGGAGAAGTCGGAGTTTAGGGTTTAGGGTTTAGGGTTTAGGGTTTAGGGTTTAGGGAGAAGTCGGAGCACCCTTGGGTGGTGCCAGGTGAGCACCGCAGCGGACTCTCCCCACGGTAGCGAAGGCCACTGAGGTGCTCAGCTTAGCGCTATACAGAAGTGTCGGACTAGGGATTTAAAGGTTGTGGGGTTTAGGGTGTAGGGTTTAAAGCTGTAAGCTAGTATAGAATAACATTATGATGATAGTAGTTATAGCAATAACGAAGAGCAACAACCGAAGATTCGGGTTTTGTTTAGTTGAGGGTTGAGGGTGGTGTGTAGGGTTTAGGGCGGTGGGTACGATCTGTCCTGCATGACTAGTTACACGATAAGATACTTGCATAGTTCCCAGTTTTGTGGCCTCATAAGGTCAAAGATACCCTGAACTGTCAGCCAGAAACCTCGAGCCACGGCTCAACTTGTCTTAGTGCCATGGGCCTCGGCAAAACATGGGTTGTAAAAACCATCCCAATAATATAGGGGCCTACATAATTACCAATACTATTGTCGGGGTTCGTTATTACTAACTATAGTATAATATCCCGCCCAAAACCCTGTTGCAATTATCAAGGCCCCTACATTATGCGAGGTTCCCACCGCGAGCCTTGGTGAGATTGACGGCCGCTGGGCGCTGCCAACGTAGTGGCCTTGAGCGACGGCCTCCATTAGGGCTCCGAAAATGTGCAAAAGCCTTTGGCCCTTGTTTGTGGGGAGAACCTTGCACTACGTCTAAACCTAGAACCCAGAAAACCACCCAGCTGCAACTAATAGCCACCCTCCCTCAAGCCCTAATGACAGCGATAGACATGCCTGCCCCAAGTCCCAAAAGCCTTAACATAGGAGCCTTGATAATTACCTATACNNGGGGGGGGGGGGGGGGGGGGTCCTGAGCATAACTATATTATAGTATAACTTACCCCGAAACCCGAAGGCCCCTACATCAGCTCTCATTACAATGTTTTGATTGGAGCGGCGCGTCGAGGCTTGTCGTGTCGGGTTTTAGTGTTTAGTGCCATGCATAAAAAAAGACCCTTCTGATTCGCTCTTGTCAAAATGCAGAGGCTACAGCACTTCTTGTGGGCATCCCATCCAATCTGATTGGTACAGGTTGCCTGGAAGTAAGGGTCGTATCTGGGTCTCTAACTGCATTAGGTGGGCTGCCTGTTTGCATAAGGCTACTACTGACCCTACTTGCTGAGCCATTTCATCCTTGAAGTAAGCCATGCTGCTTAGTTAAGATCTCAAAGCCCCTAAACCCCCAAGCCTAAACCAACCTTCAAGCCCAAGGCCATGAACTCCTTGAAGCCCTAAACCCTAACCCTTCATACAACCTTTACCTTCTACAAACCATGCCAAAGATGGCGGAATTGAGAGCCTCCCCGCAGACTTCAAGGTGTCTGACCTTGATCTTTCGAATGTCTGGCCAAGCAGCGCTGGACCGAGCCGGAACCCCATTAAACCGCCGAGTAGTGGCGGTGGTAGTAGCAGCAGCAGAAGTAGTAGTAGGTGTTGTCGTTGTTGCGGTTGTAGAACGAGGGAGGAGAAGTAGAAAAGTCAGGGCAAGACTAAGACGAAGACGAAGCGTACGAGCACCAGCAAGAGTACGAGTAGTAGCACGTTGTAGCAGTTAGCCCGGCAGCTTTGGGTGCCCAAAACCTCCAGACCTTAAGCCCCAAACCCCCCCACAAACCTTCTACGTCAAACCTTGAAACCCTGATCCCTGAACCCTCCTGAACCCTGAAACCCTGATCCGAACCCCCCTAAACAACTTCAAACTCCAAACCTTAGGTCCTAAAGCCCCTAAACCCTAAACCCTAAACCCTGAACCCTAAATCCTAAACCCTAACCCTAAACCCTAAACCCCTAAACCCTAAACCCTAAACCCTAAACCTTAGCTAAAGCCCTCGAAACGCTTGGGGAAGCCTCCGGCTGCGCTTTCGCGCGCACAGCGACAAAGTCGCCGCCTTCAACCGACCCACCGGTCGTGAAGTAGGGGCCTTTTAGGGTTGAGGGTTTAGGGTTTAGGGTTTAGGGTTTAGGGCGGGTTGAAGGGTTTAGGATTTTGGGTTTAGGGTTTAGGGTTGAGGGTTTACGGGTTTAGGATTTCGGGTTTAGGGTTGAGGGTTTAAGGGGTTTAGGATTTCGGGTTTAGGGTTGAGGGTTTAAGGCTTTAGGATTTCGGGTTTAGGGTTTAGGGTTGAGGGTTTAAGGATTTAGGATTTCGGGTTTAGGGTTTAGGGTTGAGGGTTTAAGGCTTTAGGATTTCGGGTTTAGGGTTTAGGGTTGAGGGTATAAGGCTGTAGGATTGAGGGTTCAAGGGTTTAAGATTTCGGGTTGAGAGTTTAGGGTTTCGGGGCGCCTCAATAATCAAAATAAGGACTTTAGGGTATTGGAACAGGGTGTTGAGGGTACTATAAGGCTACCATAAGCCTCATAAGGGTACTCTCAGGGTTTAAGTTTAGGGGCCTTACCAAACTACGAATTAGAGAAGGGTTTCGGGGTATATCAAGCCATAATAATGATAAGGAGCCCGCACATGCTTGTATAGGGTTTACTCGGGCTTAGGTTTTAGCTTATCGCGAGACCCTGTGGCATGTATGTAGGTCCTGCATCAAGCCTAAACCTCGTAGCTGAAACGCCCAGAGGTCGGTTCCAACCCAAATCAACCCTAAACTCTAAAGTGATGTTGGAATTTCGGTAACGCCTACAGCACTATTCCAACAAAAATCTTCCTCAGGCTCTGCAGTTCGCAGTCTCGTGGAACACAGGCTGCCTTACAAGCAAGCAGCCTCAAGAGTACGTAGCTACCTTAACAACCCTGACGACACATGCCTACTCTTTGAGTCACCTACATGACATCTGTCTATGCGTCATCCCTGTACTTCCCTTTCTCTCTCTCTCTCTCTCTCTTTCTCCTGTTATTTTTTCGCCGCGCATCAAGGATCACTTGGGCTTCGACCCCTCCCCATGCCTCACGAGCTTGGCATGTAGAGCTGCCAATGTACAGTGCCGGGGAAAAGCAGGCAGAGGCGACAAAGTCCATCAAAGTCTCGCACAGCGAAAAGCGCAGGGCGCAGAGTTTAAGATTGTTCATGTTCGAAGGCTTACTCGGTGACTAAACCCTAAAGACTTAACCTCAACTTCTTGGGCATACTCGAGAAGTGCGTGTCGAAAAGGCTGCTGTTGCCTTGTTCTTCAGGAGACTTACAAGCCCGAAATGGCAACAGCCACTGCTTGGGATTTGAAGTATTGTGGACTGTTGATGCTCAGCAGAAGGACTGTTCTTCTGGCCTTGTTCTCAGCAGTGCTGCATCTGTGAGGTAAGACGTTCCCAGCCCACATGCTTTGCTAGTAGGCAACTACGAACTTTCATGATTATCACGGCTCTCAGTTCTTTGAAGCTCGTCAGCAGCTAGTTGTTGCGGCGCACGAGCGAATCAGCCGCAGCTCCACCTTCAAGCAAATCACGCTACAACGTGTGAGGGGATCGATAGGCACGAAATTATAGTGATACTCCGCAAAGGCCGCAAGCGCAGACTTCAACTGCAAGCATCCAATCCTACTTCCCTTAAACCGTAAACCCCGAAAGCCTCGGCCTAACACCTAAGCGCTTAAACTCAGACTACTTGGAGGATCATGGGACTTAGTAAGTAAGGTTAGAAGTACCCTAATTGGGGTTATATATAATTATAAGTCTAGTTACCGTATTTATAACCCTGGTTACTAAGTCCCATGAACCTCTCAGTAGTGTGGTCAAAGCACAGAGCCCTAAGTTTCAAGAGCCTACCTGTAGGCTGTTCAGAACCATGTTCATGAGGGCCGCAAACATGGAAATGGCCGTGCGGCCAAGAAGGCCAGAGACGGTTGCTTCGCTTAGCAATTCAGTTTGAAAGGTTTGCACTCGTTGAACGACTTCTTCGGGGTTACAGCGCCCCAATTTGAGCCTTGAAGGTGTTCAACTGCCTAATATAGAGGCCTTAATAGTTAGAATAGGGCTTGGGGGGTATATTATACTACAGTTATAATACGGAACCCCAAAGCCCTTTTCTAAATATTAAGGCCCCTGCATTGTCTAAGTCAGGATGATGGGCTTCCGGGTGTCAGGGTCTAGGGCTCTCGGGGTGTCCTTGCTGGGTCTCCGCTTGCTTTGCATGAGGGTTTTCGGTGACGGGGACGTACGGTTGATGTTATAAAGCCTGCATTACCTGAAGGAGCCTAAACTGTGATGGGAATTATGGTATATTCCTCAATATGGGCAATGCAGGATTTAATATCATCAACCGTAGCAGTCTGGGCGTGAGGATTTAGGATCTGAGTTTAGGGGTTGAGGGTTAGGCTTCATGTGCGGAGGATTTCCGGCCGAAAGATGTATCGAGACTGAACCAATCCAGCTGAGACGTGCCACCCTGTAGCTTCAGAACTTAGGGTACAGGGCGTTGAGTTTAGGCTTCAAGACTCTGATTGAACGTACGTGCGTCAGCTTAGGGGATGTTGGGTTGAGGGTCGAGGGGTTCTGAGAATGCAGGTTAAGAATTCAAGGTGTTGGGGGTCCAGAGATTTAGGGTTGAGGATCCAGAAGTTTGGGGAAATGGGATTTAGGGTTCAAGGTTGTTCAAGGTTTTAGGGTTTGAGGGTTCATGTGGTTAGGGTTAGTGGGTCTTGGGAGCGTGGTTGTTTAGCGTTATGGGTTCAGTTGTGATTTAGGGTTCACGGTGTATAGAGCTGATGCCCGAAGACAGCAATGCAGACGGTTCACGTTTGGAGAGCGATTTCCGTTTGCCTCTCGAAGGTTGGGCCTAAACGTCAGCGTGGAAAATAGAAGTCTCAATAATCAGCTAGACTATTCTCCCGGGTATACTGGTACATTCATATAGCTTATAATATATGTTCGTGTAACTATATGTATAGATACTCATTTGTTTTTGCTTATACACACACATAGCAACACACACACACACACGCACACACACACACACACAAGAATGCATTCAATATGCGCATGCACATCATGCATGTCGTGCGTTCCTTCAACAAGCAAAGCCATGTCAATAAAGTCACGATGCACATGTACACAAGAGTACAAGTTCAGGGGCAGGCTGGCGACAGGCAGCAAGGTTAGTAGGGAGTCAACGAAGGAGCCCACTGTGCACCTTACAGGGTTGATTATCGGCTGTTTTGTCTTGTACCGACAGACCTGCTCCTGCGGTTTGCAGAATGGCTGTCGGACTTCTCAGAAGTGCGAAGGCTCAAGCCGAACTTGCTCGTTTGTGCAGAGAAAGAATCTCAACGTCCTCCGCCCTCGAAGCATAAAAGCATCATGCAAGCAGCTTGGCCTTGTTCAGTACCGATTTCGATGTCCCAGCGCCTTGCACTTCTTCTGCAGCTGGTGTTCCAATACAGGTTGCTGAGCCCTCGTGTTCCAATCCATTGCCAGAAAAGGCGATTGGCTTCCTGAAGGGCATGGTCGGCATGTCGCAAACGTATACCATGCGGAATGAGACGGATTGCACTGTAAAGGTGCTGATGACCGAAGATCCCGAGGCTTTGAAAACCGTGGTTAAGGCCAAAGGCGCCCTGGGCTTGGATTTCGCACCCGGAGCAGGCCTGTCTCCCAAACTTGTCGGTCTTCGAAGTTCGATAAAGAACCGGACAATGCTGAAGGGTGCATGATAAGCTCCACAGACCAAGAGGCTACGTAACACTCACCTGGCCTACCTGAGCCGTTCTGCTCTGATTGTTGCAATAAATAACCCTGTGTCCCAAGTGCTCCTCCTGCTGCTGCTACGTACTACCACAACTGCCACTCCCACTGCCACTACCACCTACAATTACCTCTACTACCTCTACTGCCTCTACTATTACTACTTCTGCTCCTACCACCACTACTACTACTACTACTACTACTACTACTACTACTGCGACTGCTACTGCTACTGGTACTGCTACTACTACTACTACTACTACTACCACCAGAACTACCACAACTACCACAGCCGCAACCACTACCACTACCACTACCACTATCACGACTATTACAACAACTACTACTACTCCTGCACCCCTATTACTCTCTACCACTCCTGCTCCTACACTGCTACTGCGACTACTACTACTGCCACCACCAATAGTCTACCTACTAACTAACTACGAACTACGAAGCGGTAAGACTGCTGCGACTACTACTGCGACTACTACTGCGACTACTATCACTACTACCACTACTACTACTACTACTACTACTACTACTACGACTACTACTACTACTACTACTACTACTACTACTACTACTACTCTACTACTCTACCTCTACTACTACTACTACTACTACTACTACTACTTCTACTCCTACTACTACCTCCACTACCCACTACTCCTACTACCACCGCCACTACCCACTACTACCCACTACTACTACTACTACTACTACTACTACTACCACTACTACTAGTACTACTACTACTGCTACTACTACTACTAATAATAATACTAATACTAATACTAATACTAATACTACCACTGCTATTACCATTACCACTACCACTACCACTACCACTACCACTACCACTACCACTACCACAACAACAACAACAACTACTACTACTACTACTATTAATAATGCTACCAATACCACTACTAGTATGATTACTACTACTACTACGACTACTACTACTACTACTACTACTACTGCGAAGAGACCTCGAAGCCTAGCGCATTTGAGCTATGAAACGTTTGGGCAACCTTCGGTTACCAAACATGGGCAGCTTTTGGTTACCATGCGATGACCGTACTATGTAGTCCGGCAATCGTGGCTCCAGGGGCCAAGAGTCCAAAGGATTCGAAGCTCACACAGTTCAGCCATTGATTCCTACAGTCAGTCAACGTGTGTGTCGCCCCCTCTGCACAGACACCTCAACGACTTGAGCGAGGAAGCAGAAAAGACGTCCGAGGTTGCCTGCACGGGAAGCAAGGGTCATGTCTATCAGTGGGCGGTTATTCTACATCAACTAGCTCTGTCAGGTGAGCGATCAACGAGATTATCATATACCAAACCCTCACGCAGGTTATCAGCCGTAGGCTCTGCCTACACAAGGACTTTGACGCCGTGACAACACACCAACAATGACATCTGGATCCAGTACAGATACGACAATGACCTGGTGGTGGTGGCGAAGCTGCAATGCCAGCGGCAGGAGAATCAACTGTCGAGGAGACGTTGGCGATTTCTGTGGACTCAGCAACCACAGAAGAAGACAAGAAGCAAAAGCCATCAGAATCGTCTACAGGTCCACGTCAGAGTACAGGGGCAAGATCGTTACCAAGAATTTTGACCCAACAGTGATACACTACCGCTGGCACCAGCATGAAGCCAGGTCAAAGACGTCCGTCGAAGAGGGTGACGCAAGTGACTACAAAGACAAAGGATCGTGAACCGAGAAGTCCAGAACAGTCGAAGCCGAGGTCTTCATCCAGAAGTATGTCGCGAAGGAGTGCCAAGAAGCAGTATCTACCACCTTCTCCTTTGGTGTGGCGGCAGACGGCTGACTTAACCACTATGCCTTCGGCGAGGGATGTGGACTCGCCGGTTGCCGGTGACTTTGGCGGTGCCGACTTCATGTTGGACAGAGCCATCCAATCTCGTCAACAGGAAGAAGCACGCAGCAAACTGCCAGTGTTGAACCTTACAAGTCGTCCTCATCATCCACTTCAAGCAGTTTGTGAACAACTTGTACAGCAGCTACCACGTGCCGAAGAAGAGATGAAAATAAATCACAATGAAGAAGTACAACAGCACGAGGCAGCCGTGGCAATGCTGATCGCAAGAGTGAGCGAGATGGTGCAGTGGATCAATTTCCATGAACAGGAAGACCAAGGAGCCACGATAAGGATTGAAGAGTTGGAACGACAGCGTGATTTACTGTCTGAAGCAGTTGGGCAAGTCAATCAGGTACATCGAAGCTCTACCGAGGAGTACGCACATGTGGTGAGAAGAATCGAAGAAGCCAGTCATGCTCAACAACTTGATGAGGAAACAGCAGAATCACTACACCACGAGTTGGGCCAACTTCGAAGCGAGGCATCACAGAGTTTCGCGCATCTAGACATGGCCAGGGAGTATCAGAAGCTCCTCGATGCGCTCAATGCGAAAGTTCGTGAAACCCTACATTTCAGAATGGAATCTTCCAACAGAGGTCTGAAATAGCGATCATGAGAGAAAGGGTTGAGATGATCAAAGGAGAAGAACAGGTGGCTAAGGAAGAAGCGAATGGAAGGATATGTGCGGCAGAATCTGGAGCACAAGCTTTGCAAAGTCGTTTGGACAAGGAGGAAGCCGCAAGGTATGAAGCCAATGTGAAGATGGAGCAGGCTGAAATTCACGCAAGGCAAGCCCGTGAACGAGAACGACCTTTGACTGCGTTGCACAATGAGTTGGATGAGCTACGTCTACGCCTCAAACAACAAGAGGAACTTCAAGCACGCAATCAACAGGCATGGAAGTACGAGCTTGAAGCTGAACGCCTGTTTCACCATCAAGGTTCTCAACGATCATCCAATGCGCCACTTTCATCGAAGACTTCTGAAGCGGGATGGGAATACGTAAGTAGCCAAGTCAGTAGTAAGAAAGGGTTGTCTTTTCCAGTAGGAACAGAAATGCGATCCCCTGATGTTGGCACACCTTCCCAATACAGTCCTGTGAACAGAGGCAAACCCATTACTGAAGTATGTTCTGACATGTCACCTATCGTACAAGATGTCAGCATGGATCGTCATTGCCATCAAGTACAGGACCAGCATCGAATCTCACTCCAACCGGGGTCGAGAAACGAAACAACCAGCTTCGTGATCTTCTTGACACGCGAGGTATCAATGGAAGATCATCGTCTTCGTAATCTACTACACGACCACACAGGAACATGCTTACAGGTCGACCAAGCAAGAACATCTTCATGGAAGAGGGTGATGACGACAAGACGGAAAAGTTGATAGCTGAGCTGGTAGAGCGTGATGTGAAGACGCTTGAAGAAGCCAAAGAGAGTGTCAGGTCTACCTCACAGGCGATGCCTTTGGCACGACCTGCAGCATCTTCATCAGACGTTTCCAATCAATTGGCAAGTATCGAGGCCGATTACATCGCACAGATGACGGAATTTCGATATGAATTACGTCAAGCCAAGCTGAATGAGGAGCGCTTACGCGAAGATCGAAACAGCTGGCGACAAGCAGCGGGACATTACCAGCATGATTACCAACAGGACGACGGTGCTGAAGGAGAGGAAGACAATGAAGAAGATGTTTCTCCGTCTGAATCGCCAACGAACATTGGACCTGGAGGTCCAGGTGGTGGTGATGGTCATGATGATGCACCTTCCCGAGGACACGGACGTCGTGGCGGTGATCCAGATCCAACGCCCCCCGACGATCCCGACTATGATGATGATCAGCAGGTTACATCATTCAAGATATCGAGAAGGGAAGCTGACAAGGTTGTGGTTCCACCATTTCCACGGGTGACGCATCTTGACAGCTGGGTGGCACATTGCATTGCGAATGTTCTCAGTGCTTGCGCAGGCCCGAATCACGAGGATTGGATAAGTTGGTTGAACCCAGCATTCCGTCCAAATTCTGACATTTATGGATTGGTTGATTCCGGAAACATCACGTTCAAAAGCATTGATGTAAACTTGGGTGTTGCTATGACGGCTATGCTCAGAGCCGCCGGCGACGTTGCTGCTGACCTCTACCTGAACGTCAACCGGAAAGCAAACAAGTACGTTCGGACTGATTCAAAGTTGATCAAAGGGAAGCAAGTCATCGCGATGATGTGCGAAAGTTTCAGGACGCGTGACCGGATGGACATGATTGTTTCGCTTGACTACCTCATCAAGTTACAATATCAAGGTGACCAGAAAATGAGCACGTTCAAGCAGACATGGTTGGAGGTTATGGATCGCCTGCGGCCGGAGGACGTTCCCTCTGACACGGCATTGAGAGACACGCTCCATTCCAAGATCAAGGATTCTCCGGCACAGAAGCTGGAACTTTGCGTGCGCTACGACATGCTCACTTACGATGATCCCAGGCGATCTTACAAGACTCTTCTTCATCTCATGGACAGGTGTATTCAGAGGCAACGTGCGCAGAAGAACATGCAGCAGACTCAAACCGGTCTTCAGCAAATGATAGAGGGCAAGGACATGATGACGGCGCTCGCCGCGAAAGCGAAAGGAGGTGGAAAGGGCACAGCAGCTCCAGCAGACAAGAAGGGTGGCAAGATGGACAACGAAGATGCTGCTCCAGTTCTTCCCCAGAGCAAAGCCAAATCTCACGCGAAAGCCAAAGCCAAAGGCGGAGACAAAGCCAAGCAAAGGGAAAGGTCTGAATCCACTGACGGAAAACCAAAGATGAAGCACACCAGATGCAAGTTCTTTTTTTTCCGAGAACGGTGAATGCAAAAATGGAGGCAGATGTCCATTGGGCCATTCGAAGAAGACTCCTGAACGCGGGCGAAGCAGTACTCCAAATCGGAGAAGGACAGCGACGAGAAGTCCATCCACTGGAAATCAACAAAGGGAGCGTTACAACTTCAAGAACGTTGTAAACGTGGAAACTTGTGCCCATGTGACTCCGGCTACTCCTGCAGAAGGAGAGCCAAAAGCCGGTGCCAAGGCCAAAGCTAAAGCTAAAACCAAGGCTGATGCCAAAGCTGAGGCCAAGACAAAGACAAAGGCGAAAGGGAAGCCACAACCTGCAGCTCCAACGATCCGATTGTGCAGAGCATGGCATCCGCTTGCTCCCGCGATTCGACAAAAGGCAAACGTGGAGGAAGATGAAGAATCAGAATGTTTCATCTAGTGATAGTGATGCTGACTCCGATTGCTCCACAGACGATGAAGTGGTTGGAACGACTTTGTCGGCCAAACCACAAGGGAGAAGACATGTTTCGCTCGCAAAGGATATTCGATTTCAATCATCAAGACCGAGGAAATCGCACAAGGAACGGGGCAAAGAAGTGATCAAGGTGAATGTCGAGAACCTCGTTGACAATGAGAACCGCGCGTCTGAAGGCACAGATGATGATCGACATGATCGAAGACGACAACCTGGCGATCGACGCGTTTACGTTCGCAGACCAGGATCGAACAACGTCAAGCAAATTGTGTTCTACGACGGCGACGAAGAGATCAAAGAAAGGCATGTCAGTCCAAGCGAAAGCAGAGAGATAAAAGTCTTTGAGAAGGTCAAGTGCACGGTACCAGCAACCTGGATAAGATCTAAGATCAAGTTTCTCATGGACACAGGATGTGGGCATGACCTGATCTCTCAACGCAAGGTCGAGAAGCATGGTTTGGAAACTCTCGTGAATCCAGAAGACGGCGTTACATTTCAGACAGCCAGTGGAGTCACCGCCACGGATTTGTTATCCAACTTTCTGACTGGATCGTTCGCTGAACCGATCAATGCCTACGTCCTCGATGACACACCATCAGTTCTTTCCGTGGGAAAGCGACGCACGCAGCAAGGGTTTGGTTTTGTGTGGCCACCCGGCGATGATCCTTTCATGATCAACCCGGACGGGAAGCAAATCTCATTATTCATCAATGGTGACATCCCGCTCGTACGTGCAGGAAGTCAGAAGTCTATTCCTTTTGAGGACGAGCTCGTATCGAACATCAAGCCCATATTCGATCGTGCTGGTGAAACAAGGAGGAATCTACATCAACAACGGATGCTGCGCCCGCAAAGGCGGTGCCAGGAGAAAGCGTAGAGGAGGTCTGAAGATGCAGTCGAAGGATCTTTCATTGAGGACGTTCCGGACGACTATCCTGGCATAGAAGTACCGTTGGAAGCAGCAGGCAGACCTCCAGAACCACCTGACGAAGAAGGAGACCGAGAACGTATTGCAGAAGATGAGAGAAAGGTCGAAGTCGAAGCAGATGGAGCACCTACTCGCAAAGCGAAAATCTGTACCCTGAAAGCGGAGGCAAGGACTCTCGCACATCTATGCACCCATCGATATCGGAATCCTTACTGCGAGGCGTGTATTCGAGCCAAGATGAAACACTTTCGGACCGGATGCGGAGCCTTCAAAAGAGAGCTGACATCGTGGGGAGATCTGATCACCTTTGATTTCATGGATATGCGCAAAGCCGCAGACATGGGTGTGGGTACACAGGCGTTCCCTTATAGTTATGTTGGGTTATAACTCGTTAGGAGGAGTTAGGCCTTAACGCCGGCTAACTTTGTGTATCTTTTTGCATGGCTTTCAAGC